CTATTGCTTTATCTTGTTACCACTTTTATCAAGAATGTTATGATAATAACAGTATTTAATTTGATAGAGTGTTTCCTGCACACTAGATAGTATGCTAGGTACATTGCCTACACTGTCTTACTTAACACATTCGAAAGCGTTTATCGGGCGGGCGCGGTGGCTCACGCCTGTAATCCCAGCACTTTGGGAGGCCGAGGCGGGTGGATCACGAGGTCAAGATATCGGGACCATCCTGGTCGACATGGTGAAACCCCGTCTCTACTAAAAATACAAAAATTAGCTGGGCATGGTGGCGCGTGCCTGTAGTCCCACCTACTCAGGAGGCTGAGGCCGGAGAATTGCCTGAACCCAGGAGGCGGAGGTTGCGGTGAGCCGAGATCGCGCCATTGCACTCCAGCCTGGGTAACAAGAGCGAAACTCCGTCTCAAAAAAAATAAATAAATTAAATAAAATAAATAAATAAATAAATAAATAAATAGCGTTTATCTTATTGTACCATTCTGCCATTACGATCCATCGGCAACTCAAGAAACAACCCAATGTTACACAGCCAGAGTAGAAACAAGCTCATTCTATTACATATTCTCTAATAAAATGTGGAACTCTGTTTTTCCTTGTTTTGCTAATATTTGCTTTTGAAACTTTATTAATAAGTGTATGTAAGCTTAGTTATAGTTTCCTTGAGAAAACTGAAACATTTACGTAACATAATGACCCTCTCTTTATCTTTAGTAGTGGTTTCTGCCTGTAAGTCTCATTTGCCTAATAATAAGAGGATTAAATCAGCTTTCTTTTGTTTGTGTATACACACGTGTGTGCATGTGTGCGTATTTACATAATATTTATATACATGTGTATCAATTTATAACAGTGATATAGATAATCAGTTTATAAGAAGAAAAATTATTTTAACTGCCGAATTTTCTAAATTCTTGGAATTTGGATGTGTCTCTCGTAAATAGCATTTTGCTAGATGTTTTTTAATTCAGTATGAAAATATTTGCTTTTCAACCAGAATGTTAGGTCTATTCCCATTCAGTGTTGCAGGGAAGCGCATCAATTGCCCACAGTTTCTATTCTCCATGTCTTCCTTCTACTCACAGAACTTTCTCCCAGGCCCTTCCCTGAACTGAGTGTGTCCCAGGAGTGCTTGTAGCTACCTATGAGCGAGCCGGGGGAAATGGAACACAGAAAAGGCACACAAGCTGCTGCGGGGAGAAAGGAGCTCCTGGGTGTCCATCATCTTCACCCGTTCCTGCTGACCCAGAAATGGTCACAGCTGAACAGGCACCTTAGGGCCAGTGAAGCAGCCCAAAAGAATAGTGGGCAGAGTCATCCACCAGCCAGGTCCGCTCACGGGGATTCTCCAGAGAGGGAGAAATACAGTCCTCTTCTCTTCCTTACAGAAGCTCAGTCTGTTCTTCCATCAGAACCTTTTGGATTGCTGACATAGCTGAATTTTATTTTACTATCTCATATCATGCTTTCTATTCTTCTCATTGTGTGCTATCATTCTTTTGGACTTTTCCTCCTTCTTGACATTTTTTGAACTTAAAGGGTTTTATCCTCTCCCTACGGTTAAAATTTTTCCACCAAATTGAACTTACAGTTCCTATTTTAGTGTTTAGTATTATTTAATAGTTCCATGCAGAAGTCAAAATTTAATCTCCATCTCTTCCCTTCCCCATTACAATGCATGGGTCTAAGCATATTGAATGTCTATAACATTTGTGTTCTGTATCTTAATTATTTATAACGTTTAAATTCCATAAACTGAAATTTTTCTTTATTTAGGTTCTGTTGGAAAATGCTCTCTGGTTTTACATCTTAATTTTGTACCCATTCTTGAAAAACGGTTTTAGTGAGCATTCAATCAGGTTGACTATTGATATGTTTCAACACAAATAGGAAGTAATTTTGACTCTTCATGATGTCCCTTGTTGCATCTGGGAACTAAACTGAGTTCTTATTGACATTCCTTTGAAATTAATCTGTATCTTCTTACCAAGGGCTTTAAGTAACTGCTCCTTCTCTGAAATTGGATTTTGAGTAATCTAGCTGTTGATTTTTTTTCTTTTTACTGTATTCTACTTGATATTGGACTTCAGAACTGGTGTCTCACAACAAATCTGGAAATTCCTTGCATGTTAATTACTCAAATTCTCTTCTGGAAATCTGGGTCGATGAATTTCAGAACTGCTCTTCTTCACCTGATCTCTTTAATTTTACTTGCTTTATCAATTTGTTTTATTATATCATATTTACTTCCCAATTCACTAATTGTTTCTTCAACTGTGTAATTCATAAGTGAATCTAAATTATTATTTTTTAACTTCAAACTCTTTACTTGTCATTTCTAAAAATTCTACTAGTTTTTTTCCCCTCAGATTTGTTTGGCTGTTTTGTAGAGTCCACACTGTTTGCTTACGCTCTTTAGTCAACTCCTATATTTAACTTTATTAAGCATGGATATAATATATTACCTTTGATTATTTATAATATAATAGATTATATATAATTACATAAATATAGCATTTATAATGGTAATATAATTTATAATGACAATAATTTATAAGAATATATAATTACATAATATATAATTAGAACAATTTATAATGGTAATATGTATTTATTTATAGATATATTATAAAATATTTATAAATGTTTAATTTAATAAATATATGGTATTTATGAATATGATAGATTTATATTAGATATAAAATTATATAATATACTATAGCTGTATTAATCATACATTAGACATTACAGTGTCTAAGACCGTGTAGGGTTGGTTCTGTGGTCAGTCCCGTCTGCTGTGTCTCACTCACTGTGCCTTCTCCCTTGAGGTGTTGTATCTGGTAGCTATGAGCTCGTCATCTTTGAAACCTGCCACTGTACGAATTATCTGAGGCTGGGTTCTAGGTGTATTTCTGTAAAAAACAAAAGTTGTATTTGCTTCTTTTAAGCATATTATTTTAAACTTGATGCTTGTCTTCAAGGTCCACTGGACCAAAAATTTTGCTGGATATTTACTCAGACAACATACAGTTACGATCAGGAGTGTTTGGTTGATTCCTTCCCCTACACTCAGGGCCACCTCTTCATGGTGTTCCCTTCTGTCAGATGTGTTATAACTAGTTCACTCTCATGTTGAAGGTGCAACCATTGAAGTCTCCTTCAGACCCTACCTGGTGGGCCTGAGCCTTGGCCTCTCCTCCCACAGACCCTCCACTGTCATCAGAGATGCCCTGGAGATGAAGGCAGCTTTGATGCTGAGCCTACCTCTGACTTTGACCTTTATTGTGTAGGTGACGGTGGTGGAACTGTGACCCTAAACTGCTTTCTGACAGTTTAGCAACAGTGTGTGTGCGTGTGCATTCATGTGTGTGTGATGATATGAGCCTTAAGATCTTCTGGGAGGAATGATGAGATGATATTTCATGTGTATTTGTGTGTGTTCTGTGTGTGTTATTTCCAGAATGGCAGAAAGCTCATGATGGCAGAAACATTTTTTTTCGTGCATCTGTCAGTGTTCTCTGTGCAGTTGGAAATGTAAATATCTGATTCTTACACTAAGGTTTCTATTGTAGATTCCCCCAATAGCTAATCAACATTGACACAGCTTGGCTCTGTGTTCCCATGCAAATCTCATTATAATTCCCATGCACGGAGGGGCAGAGGTGATTAAATCATGGAGTCAGTTTCCCCCATGCTGTTCTTGTGATAGGGATTGAGTTCTCACTAGATCTCTGCTGGTTTTATAAGTGTTGGACGTTCCTCCTTCACACACACACTCTCTTCCGCTGCCTTGTGAAGAAGGTGCCTACTTCCTCTTCCACCATGATAGTAACTTTCCTGAGGCCTCCCCGGCCATGCAGAACTCTGAGTCAATTAAGCCTCCTTTGTTCATAAATTAGCCCTTCTCAGGTAGTATGTATATAGCAGTGTGGGAACAGACTAATACAGACACTATCTACTTCTGCAATGTATGGAAACCACCAAGCATTCCTAGCAGCCAAGCCCCTCTGATCAAGCCCATCTGATCAGCTCTGCCATTCAGACTCCTGGGTATCTTGAATCATCGAGGGAGAAGACCTTCTTTTTAATATGTTCATGAGCAGATTTGGAAAGAACAGTTTCTGTAGGCATGTTTTTCACAAAGAAGAAAAACACAGAAATCAGCTGATTATCCCTTGTTACGAAAGAATGTTCAGCTTGACGATATCTTAATAACCAGAAAATTAACTGTGAAATACTCTAGACTCTGGGTGGAAAGAGAAAACAAAAAGCAAAAAATAAAGCCACGTCTTAAGTTTGCATTTGTTTTTAATATTTTATGAATAAAGAGGTTAAATATGGTCCCGTGTCATGAGGATGAGAGAAAGACTTTCTTGTCTTCTTTTTCAATAAGTATATTTTTATCATCTCCTTTTCTGCTTTTGAGAATAATTCATGGTCATACAAGATGTCAGGGTTCAAACACCAGCTCCACTGGTCACTGGTTTTATGAACTTGTAAAATCGCTTCAATTCTGCACGCCTCATTTACGGAAGCATGGAATTACTGTGATTCCGACCTCAGGCAGTTTTGTGAGACGTTAACCAAAAATGACTGTAAAACTTTCTAGAGGCTGGCACTTGGGAAACACAACCACACAAATAGTAATCAAAAATAATCTTACAGCATCTTGGTTAAATATGTGTATATATATATGTACACACACACGTATACACATATATAATCAATATAGAAAACCATAAATAAGTGAAATTGTAATGACGGCACACTGCGAATTAGATACTGATGACACAGTTTGTGTTTCTCCCGAGTATGCACCGGGAGCTTCTTGTCTTCCCTTCCCAGATCCTTTTCTTTGATGTTTGTGTTTGTGTGCAGCTTTTTTCTAATAAAAATGAGATACGCTACCTCACGTTTATTACCTTTTTATCAAGTAACAACATATTATGGTTATTAATATATGGCAATAAATATAGATCCATAATAGACGACCATTTTAATGGTTACGTGATAGCCCATTGCACAGATACAGCATGATTTATTTGACCAATCTCCTGTTGGTAGGTTTTAGTGATTTTTATTGCTTCTTCTTCTCTTTTTCTGTCATGACTATTGTCAGTTTTTGTGAACTTGACTACTATTTCCATAGGATAAATTCTAAGAAATGTGACTGTACAATCAAATGGCCCAACTTGCTGAAGTTTTTCAGCTGTGCTTCCCGATTGCATTCCAAATATTTTGTAATTGCTGGGCACAGTGGCTCACACTTACAATCCCAGTTACTTGGGAGGCTGAGGCAGGAGGATCACTTAAGCACAGGAGTTCCAGAATGGCCTGGGCAACATAGTGAGACCCTGTCAGATATATATATAATATATATATACAATATATACACATACATAATTTACACTCCCATAAATGATGCATGAGCGTAGCCACTTGTTCACATTTTTTTTTATTTTTGTAATTTTGGATCATTCCTTAGACAAAAATACTCTCTTTGTTGTGGTAATTTATGTATTTTTGATTGCCAGTATAAGTGGGTGCAACCATGCAGCATTTGTAAAATTATGTTGGCAGCTTCTGTATGTGACGGGAGTCAGCGTCATCGCAGCAGATATTGAATGGGACTCCCTGTGCTGCGGCCAAGGCTTTCCCACCCCGAAACACAGCGTGATGCTGAGTCCTGCCGTTGGCTCAGGCTCGCTTGAAAAAGGAATGCAACATTTTCTAAAAAAGACAAGTACCAAGAACCTATCCCTGGTCCAGAATTCAAAATACAAAAACCTATTGAAGGTAAAACAGGGCAGGGCAGGTGAAGGGATCAGACCAAGGTGTGACATCCACACAACCAAGAGAAACAGAGAACCTTAGCTGGGAAAGAAGGTAGAGGAAGGTAGAGGCCGTGCTCGCTTCAGCAGCACATATTCTAAAAAAAACAAATTGGAACGATACAGAGAAGGTTAGCATGGCCCCTGCGCAAGGGTGACATGCAAATTCACGAAGTGTTCCACTAAAAATAAAAAGAAGGTAGAGACCAAACTCAGCACAAGAGCTGGGGAAGGGTATGGGGGGAGAGCTGGTGTCATCCAGGCACATGGCTGAAGCTGAAACATGCTTCAGAAGTCACTGCCACAGCCCGGTGTCCCACTTCAGGGAGCAGTGCCTGAGAACCCGGTTGTGAACTGGGAGGGTTATATCCCAGGAGCCAGTGGGGGGGCCAGGACCCAGAACAGGATGGGGACTCCAACCTCAGTGGACACACCATTCAACAGAGCACTACAGTGATGGTCACAAGGGTGGCAGCGAACTGCTCCATCCTAGCTGTCCTTCCTCTCTGCCCGATATTCACACACGAACCCCCCAGGACCTACCAATCATTGAGAGGAAGTCTCCAGCGGGACCCGCTGTGCCATAGTTTCTGTTCTGAGCAATTTGCTGCAGAAAGAATAAAAAAGCATATGAAACATACCAGTCATATTAGCGCTGTTGATGTTTTGCCTGTTTGTTGACATTTCGAAATGCCTGTTTTGAGAATTTTCTGTTTATATCCTGTATCCATTTTTCCTCCGGGATCTTGCTCTTTTTCTCAGTGACATGGGAGAGCTGTTTATATGAGAGTGATGTCGACTGTTGTTGTGTGTTTTGGAAACATTAGTGAAGGAAAACAGCTAGAGAGAGAGAAAGCGAAATGGGAAGTAAAACAACTTTTAGTTTTTAAGAGTTTCTTATTTACTTGCCATTCTTACTAATAAATTCTCAAGTCGATTAAGTGAAAACCTTATAAAATTCTTCAGAAACCTTTCAGAACACTAGATCCTTAAAGAAGACTGGTAACTCCCAAGTTATTTATGACAGAGACACTCGAGCAGATGAGCTGGGAGCTGGGGAGGAGAATGAGAGCGGAAGTAAAAGGAGGGTCTGCACTGACAGTGTCCCCAGATTCCATTTGCTTGTGAAAATGTGCGTGTGGTCACGCTATTCTTGACCATTGCAAAACCTGACCCACACCCACTGTTGGAATTGAGACAAGGAATACATTGTTCAGAAAACAAATTGACCTATGTTAGACAAAAATATAAACCCTGAAATCACATTTCAAAAGCGCTAAGAGTCGAAAGACTGATTTCAAGTTGTAGCATGAATGTTTACTTGTAGGAAACTGGCAGCAGGTTAATTATTCTTATATATTTAAGTGAGCACAGATTGAAAACCAGTCTGTTGCCAGGACATTGTGTCAACACCAAAATTTTAAAATGTGCATGAAATAAGTAATCTCCTTCAAGTAGATCAAATTCTATCAAGGAAGGGCAGATGTGTAAACAGACAAGTGCGAGGAGTATTAGTTAGAGAAGCAAAATGACAAACACACACAGCAGAGTAGTTGAAAAGCTGTGAAGACGGAACGACTTGGCTCCAGTTACTAGCTATGTGAGCATATGCAAGTTGCCTAGACTTTCTGTGCCTTAATTTCTCATCTACAAAATGGAAATAATAATAGAACCTACTACCTCATAGTTTGACCTTGGGATTGCATTCACTGGTTGATATCTGTAAGTATTCTGAATAATGCCTCCCCGCTGGGAGCACTTAGCGAGTGTTAGTTGTTAGGAAGCTCACAAAGAGCTTCAAATCTCAGTCTCTTCATCTGTAAAATGGGGATGGCAGTCCCTGACTGCCCCGGTGATGACTATGATGCTTCAGTGAGAACACGAGAAAGTGCAAAGGCTTGGAGTGTGATTAACACTGTTCAAAGGAAAAATGTGATTTTAACACATACAACTTCCTGCAAAGTATCCCCACCACATAAAAATAATGTGTGAGTTTCTGAATTACATAGCAAGTGCCATTTTCCTTAATTCCCTGCAATGGTTCACCTTGTGCTTTTATAAACATTGTCAGTAAGGAGGCTCAAATTGCTGTTTGGCTCAATTGGCGGGTCACTGCTTCACATGTCATGCATTTTACTAAACAGAAGCAAGTCAGGGTAAACATCCAGATGGCACAAGACTCTAGGCAAAGCCCCCTCAGTTAAGGCACATGCCAGGCAAGCCAGCCAGATGCACCATGCACATCCAGGTGTAAGGATTAGGACCATGGTCGATTTCCCTACCACGAAAATAAGGGCAAACACAAAGGCCTCCCAGCCCAGCCAAGGATTAGGATGAAGGAAGAGGAAGGACTAGATTTGCTGATTCTCATCAACTGGATTCACCATTCACTCTACTCAGGATCAGCTCAGCCAGCTCACCTGATTCTGTAGAGGAGTCTGATCTGGTGCCTAAAATCTGCCCCCATGACCAAATGCCCCCCCGCAATGAAACTTGGTCATGAAGACACCACCTGTTCTTCCTCATCCTCAGACTTCTCCTAGGCTCCCCATTCCATCTTCCGCTCCAAACTGCCCAGGAGGACTCACTTCGTATGCACGTAATGACAGCTTTCAAGCTTAAGCATGGAGGTGGTGGATTTCCAAAGCCACGTTCAAATTTTTTTTTTTTTTTTCGGTGAAACTTCACAAAACAGCAGACAATCGAGGAAGGCAGAATGAATAAGCAGCTCTTACCCGGCACCTTGAAAGATGTCCCGAGCAAGTGCAGCTCCTGGGCTGTGAGAATGCAATCATGGTTAATTTCACTCTGCTAATACCATGGGAAATGTTGCTAGTGATTAGAGAATAAAATACGACTATCTAGGGATTTCTAGAGTGAAATGGCTACTGTTCTCATAATTAGATCCTGCCATGTAAAAATAAAAGAAGAAAGAACATTTCCCCTTCTTTGCAGTGAATGGCCACCAGCCGTGTGCCTGTCCTCGGATTCTAACAGCTCTTTGATGGATCATGGAATGAGACAAAACGTGTTCCCCGGTGTGCTGGTGACTGATCTCTATCCCTGAAATCCATATCCTTATGTAATGTCCCATTTCTATACCCACAAAAACCCTAAACAAGGCTGTAAAGTCAATGCGTTTGCTTTCAGGTTTTTTGGCTTCCCCATTGTTGAATGTAGACTGTTTTAGATCACATTAATCAAAGACCGGTTAAGTATATAATTTCTAAGCATCAAATTAAGACTTTAAAAAGTATTGCTATTTGTCATAGTTTTTTTTTGTTTGTTTGTTTGTTTGTTTTTTACCATCTTGATCAGTGTTATTGAAGAGACAAAATACCATGGTCTTAGCCTTCTAAGAGCTCAGCATTTATGTAGGTCCCAAGGTCCACATTTACGAAACAATTAGATGGTAAAGATGAATCTAGGTTTTATGACCTCATACTTGAAGGATTAAGAACTGAGAGAGAAGTAGCAGTGACAGCTGGGGTGTCAGGATTCAGGAAGACCTTCTGGACTGAATTGCCTAAGCTGACCATATCGCCCTAGATGAGAAGATAAGATAGGACATCTTTTGCAAGTAAGGCCCTCTTGAGCTAAGGTCAGATGAGTCCAGGAATAAATCAGACTGGTCTGTGAGGCACTCGGATGGTGGGAGGAGTTTGTTTTCCAGAAAAGCAGAATCAAATCTTGGAGGACACAGAGGCTGACACAGTGCAGTGCACAGAGCTACTGGAAATATCTGAGCAAGGAGACAGATGAAGGTAATTTCTAAGGAAGATTTAGTCTGGCTGTAGTGCATAGAATGAAAAAGAATATGGAGAATCAGCGTTAGGCCATTCATCTGGGAGAAAGTTGCAATGATCTAAGGGTGACAGTTGCACACGCCACCAAAAAGACACGCTTAGAGTGTAATTTGAGGGAAAATAACAGAACCCACTGGTCTGCATCATGATAATGATATTATTTTTTGCTTGGAATATGTGATTTAAATTCTTTCCACAGAACCAATAAATTACCCTATTGGTTAAGTTTAGTCTGCCATTCTTAAAGGAAGCAGAGGTTCTGGTCACAAACCATCAACAGAATCTTAAAGGAATCTTTGGTTATTTTGAGAATTCTCCATTCCCTATATACCTACCATTTGATCTTTAAATAAAACATACTTCCATGTCATTGTGTGTGAGGTCAGTCTGCAAAGCAACAAATATCTCATACAGAATTTCACATCTTCTCGGAATCTTTGCTCCAAAAGTTGCCGACAATCATAGAAAGACTACAGCTCAGAACTGTAAAGAGTAAGTCTCTTGGGCCAAGCACGGTGGCTCACACTTGTAATCTCAGCACTTCGGGAGGCTGAGGTCAGGAGTTCGAGACCAGCCTAGCGAACATGGTGAAACCTCATCTCCACTAAAAATACAAAGAGTAGCTGGGTATGGTGGCCAGTGCCTGTAATCCCAGCTACTAGGGAGGCTGAGGCAGGAGAACCACTTGAACCCTGGGAGGCGGAGATTTCAGTGCGCTGAGATCATGTCACTGCATTCCAGCTTGGATTAAAGAGCAAGATTTTCTCCCCCCCCCCAAAAAAAGATAAAAGAGTAACAGTCTCATTATTAGGACCCCATCAGCAACCCCCACCCAGCAGCTATCTATCAGACGCTTACTCTGTGTGTTGGTATCTCACAGGTTGGGTCCCAGCTGTCAACGAGACAAACCCTGCCTTTATTCTAGGGGCTCAGAGCCTAAAACATCCCTCTGCAGATAAGGTGTTTTAAAGATTTCCTTTGAAAATTATCTTCCCAGATACTGAATGCAACTTGAAAGTGGGCAAGTCTTTCTCTACTTTTTATAGTGAGAAGAGATAGTAAATACTTCCCAGGGCCTTGTTCATTCATATAACTAAAATAATTGTATCTCAGTTTATCTTTATTTTCTGAGGCCTTAAGATTTGGCGCAGTTTGGGGCCTTATAATATATTCTCCTGGCTGAGCCCATTTTCATGTTCCAAGCTAATGGCAGAGCTTCTGGAAAGGCTGGGCCCATGCTTTCAACTTCCTGGAAAGGTGGAAGAGTTACTCTCACAAACCCAGTGCGGGGGTGTTGTCTGAAGGCCTTGTAGGGAATAAAAAGATAATTAATAGGGTACATGATACTGAATATAAATTATCCACAGCTGTGCCTCCCCTAATTAAACAGAAGAATGCAAACAAAGGGCAAGGACCGGTTTCACTTGCAGCTCTGGTTTTTCACATCTCAATGTTGGAGGCTGGCAGCTCTCCCTGTAAATTCTCTGCTTGGTGGACTCTTACACAAGTGTTTGTGGGAACAAGTCCAAATAGCTTGGTAAGACACTACACCCCAATTTGTTTCTTAAAACACAAAAAGTCAAAAATAGCCTAAAATGATGTAGTATACAGATCTGCAGAAAGGATGCTTAGATTTAAACTTTGATCCTATTTTGAACCAGTTATTTGGATATTATAAAATCACCCATTAAATAAAACGATGCAAACATCAGTGATAGAAATAGTCTTCATCTGAATGGAGATATCTAATAATTATTTAAAAATCTATATTTTGAATCTGTCATCTGATCTCAGTTTTTCTTTTTTTCTTTTTTTTTTTTTTTAAATGAAATATCACACTTTCACCAGGCTGGAATACAGTGGTGCCATCTTGGCTCACTGCAACCTCTGTCCCCAGGTTCAAGGGATTCTCTCACCTCAGCTTCCCAAGTAGCTGGGTTTACAGACGTGTGCCACCACGCCCGTAGTAGAGATGGGTTTTCCCCATGTTAGCCAGGCTGGTCTCGAACTCCTGGCCTCAGGTGATCTGCCCAC